ATACCAACAACTCAGTCAACATGGCGGAGGGTGGGTCCGACCGCGAACAGTCGTCGGTAGATGGCGCCATGCGTCAGTCCCTGGACTCCCACTTACTGGAATGTCCTATCTGTCTGGAGCAGCTTCGACAACCGAAATCCCTGCCTTGTCTACATTCGTTTTGTCTGGAATGCCTGGGTAGCTACATCACTAAGGAGTTGTCAGGTAAGATGGCGTCAGTGTCGTCTTTCTCCTGTCCTGTGTGCCGGAAGGTCACGGAACCGGTGAACCAATCAGAAGGTAAAGAGAGTTGGGCCGAGCAATTCCCCACCAACAATCTGGCGGTCGAAATAATCCAGCAATTACAAAAGACGGATAACCCGATCACGTGCAAACCATGTGAAAAGAAAGGAAACTTGAATAACCAAGCCAGGTTCTGGTGTAAGCTGACCAACACTTACTTCTGTGAAGCCTGCAAAATCAGTCATCATGATTTGTTTCATGAAGAATGTGACCCGCAAGACATCTCTGAAGTAAACGTGTCGGTTATACTACAACAGAAGGCCTCAGTCAATGGATGTGGAAAGCACGAGGAGAAGATGGAGTATTACTGTGAAGATCATCAAATTCTGGGATGCAGCAAATGCATCATCTTGGATCACCGGAAGTGTGAATTGGTGACGTCAGCAGAGGATTACCGGGACAAGTTGAGGAAAAGCTCTAAGATCGACGATCTGCTGGAGGAACTTCGGAAAAGTGCAGACGCCATGGAAATACTGATAAAAGATGTTGGAGAGCAACTTAAAACCATGACACTAGATCAGGACACTGCGCTGCAAAGTTTGACCGACATACGCAAACAGATCGACGAGCGGTTCAATGTTCTACAGAAAGATCTCACAGACAAACTGATATCAGCCTTCAAAGAAGAAAAAGAAAACCTGGAGATATCGAGACAGCAATGTGAACGGCTGATGTTCTCTATACAGAACACGCTCACGTCATCCGAGGATGCAGCCTTGGAGGATGACACTGTTGGAACGATATGTCTGTTCCAGAGAGGACAGGCGGAGGTCGAATCATGTAAGGAACTCATTAAGGAGTTGGAGAGGTCGTCTAGATACACCAGTATCAAAAATGAATATGACACGGACTTACTATCCGTCGGCAACATCACCAGCCTAACTATGGGGAAAATAGTCGTTAACCAACAGCGAAGGAGACTGCCATCTACTGTGTATAGCAGCATAGTACCGTTGTCGGAATGTCAGTTAAAGATGACGGGGAAGTTCACTATCAAAGTTGCTTCAGATAAAAATGACTGTAAGCCGTATGGAGTTGTATTCCTACCTGGTGGTCGTATTGTTGTCGGAGACAAAGCAAATCAAAAGATGAAATTATTTACAGATAAAGGGGATTTTAAATTTGAGCTTGAACTGACGGATGCATCCTGTGATCTTTGTAGAATTGATAACAACACTGTGGCAGTAATGCTGCAAAAGGTCAAAACAATATGTATTGTCGATGTCGGGGAGTCTACCTTGACAGTTTCATCGAAAATCAAGATTCCAAAGCTTGATGAAACCTGTCTTGGAGTCACATACCACAACAACTATTACACTGTCGCTACAACACAATCACTTTATAGTGTACCAGCAAGCGGTGGTGAACCTAAACAACTTCTCACAATAGGATCAAAATGTTTGTACCTCGCAAGCAATCAGAAGAATGGACACGTCTTTGCTAGTATCCATACCTCTACCCCAGACAAGGTGGCCGTGATCCGACTGTCGGACGATACACACACAGACATACTGAATGCCGGGTTCGTGAAAGGTACAACAGGAATAGATGTGGACAGGGAGGACAACGTGTATGTTTGTGGGTGGAGTTCAAACAACATAATGCAGATGTATGGAGATGGAACAAAAGTCAGGGTACTGCTGACGTCAACAGATGGTATCAAACGACCGAGAGCGATATCCGTGATGGGTGACGAAATGGTGATCACAAACGAATCGGCTGACCAAAAGAACTTTGTACACATCTTCAAGCTTGTTTGAATTCTAAAACAGCAACTGATATTGTATTGATAGGTAATAAACATGATAAAAGATCGTATTTCGACAGAATGAACATGTTTGGGACGAAACTACATGCGAAGAAAATTGAGCCATTATACAAGCCATAACATATGAATGGTAGGGTCGTAGTGTTTAGTTTTATGTAACCCTACTATCCGCCTTTTTAATAGTGGTTTATGACTGTGTATTGAATAGTATATATCATATTTACGTGAAACAGGCATCAGTCAAAAAGACTTACAACTATAGCACTCATTGTCTTCTTACCTTACCTGCCCCTTCCCCTTCATACACACACCTTGATAAGGTATCCCTTTTTTAAGCATTTAAACACAAGCAGAAAAAAAATGTAGAATTTAAAGTTCCAATAACATTCCAAGCAACCATCAATCCTTTCATAACTGCAAAGTTGTGTTAATATATCGTTTAATCACATCTATTTTAGCAAAGCATTAAAATTGGTTAACATCAAATAAGTTAATGGAAAGTTCTTTGTTTTAACAAACTTTAACTTAATTTTTAATTTTTAAGGGTTTCTTTACAGGGTCAAATTAAGGTATAAGTNCCCCCCCCCCCCCCCGAATCGTCATCCGTCATCTTGTACTACGACATTATCTACTCCAGACTATATAATTTCACCTGAGTGTTCTCAAAAAGTTATAATGAGAAATATTTCACACGAAGTTACTGAAATTCTAACGATAGTAAAACCTATCATTCCATATTCAGTGTTTCGTTTATTTAATTGGATTCTTTAAGTCAATAGGATAGATTTTAACAGAATTGTGTCAGGTGGTTAAAGTGAAGACATCTGATAATTTTTATCTTTGAATTTGTTTTGATTACATACAGAACAATTTTCCATGAGGACATTACGAAAATCATTGTTTCAAACATTTGCTGAACATTAATTTGAAAGATATGATTTTCAAGAAATTAACTGATGTGAATGTACACAATGTTTGCAATTAATATCTTGATTTAATGATAATAAAAAAAATGAAAAACAAATTTGACTGTCCTTTATTCTCTACTAAAAATTTTTGTACCTGATATATTTTAATGTACTACATAATTTAATTGAGTAAAAGATCAAGTGGTTTAGATCGCTTAATAAACCAATAAAAATATATCTATCTGATAATACTCACATAGATATGACTGATTATACATTCTCGGATGACTATGTTTAAGCTACAGGACCTCATGATCTACATCTACAATGTCTTTGTTTATTAACAACTTTTTCAGTCATCAACTGGTGCCGTTTTTAACAAGTCAGTTTCAAGAATGCTTACCCTTTCATATCGATGTTATACATTTTCGCATTTTTCGTCTGCAGAAATTGTCTAATAGATAAATCAAAACAACTTTAAATAGAATTTTTAAAATTCACAAAACAGATATGACATTAAACAATTAAATGTTATTAAAGTGCTAAAACAAAAACTCATAAAAAAGGACAGTAAAGCATTAGCTGTTGTCGCTGAGATATGCAAGGCGGATGTCATCGATGAACCAGAAGAAGGCTACACTTATGGAACACCTGGTCTTACTCTCCTTGTGCTTTTACTAGGTGAAGTATCTGTATATATATATTTCCTTTGCCTCAGCTTTTTCTTTTGATCGAATTTGAAGTATGGACAAATCGGTATTAGCTTGTTTTGTATTCCACAGTTTTACACGTAATGTCTTGAGTCGGATCCTTTACAATGAACATACAGTGATACCTGGTAAATAGACATCTTTACCCTCCCATACAGTGATACTAGGAACACAGACATATTCCCTCCCAAACAGTGATACCTGGTACACAAACATCCATCCTCCCATACAGTGACACTGGGTACACAGACATCCAACCTCCAATACATTTTTTATCGGATTTACAGAAATCCAACCTCCCATACAGTGATACCAGGTATATAGACATCCACCCTCCCATACAGCGATACCAGATAAACAGACATTCACCCTCCCATACAGTTATACCGGGTACAAAAACATGCAATCTCACATAAAGGGACACTGGGTACAAATACATCTACCCTCCCATACCGTGATACCAGGTACACAGACATCAACCCTCCCTTACAGCGATACCAGGTTCACAGACATCAACCCTCTCATAAAGAGATACCAGGTACACAGGCATCAACCCACCCTTCCAGCTATACCAGGTACTCAGAGATCAACCCTCTCATAAAGCGATAACAGGTACACAGACATCACCCCTCTCATAAAGCGATAACAGGTACACAGACATAATCCCTCCCATACAGTAATACCAGGTACACAGGCATCAACCCTCTCATAAAGCGCTACCAGGTACACAGACATAAACCCTCCCATACAGTAATACCTGGTACACAGACATCCAACCTCCCATACCGTGATCCCGGGTACATAGACGTCCACCCTCCCATACAGCGATAGCAGGTACACAGACATCAACCCTCCCTTACAGCGATACCAGGTTCACAGACATCAACCCTCTCATAAAGCGATACCAGGTACACAGACATAAACCCTCCCATACAGTAATACCAGGTACACATACATCCACTCTCCCATACAGTGATACCAGGAACACAGACATCCACCTTTCCATACAGAAATACTAGGTACACAGACATCTACCCTCCCATGCAGTGATACTGGCTAAACATCATCTTCCCTACAATACTGTTATACCGGGTACACAGACCTACACCCTCCCATAGAGTGATACCAGGTTCACATACATCCACACTCCCATGCAGTAACAACGGGTACACAGACATCCACCCTCCTATACAGTGATACCGGGTACAT